GCTTAAAGATCCTTACCCTTAGCCTTAACCTTCAATCCCTAAATGAACGGAAGCAACAATTGCACCAACTTCGACCAAAGTAGGGTAAAATTCTCAACCAAAAAAGCCTAATTATAGAATAAGTTAAAAATTTTCCTCAAGAAGGTTTATTATTATTATTATTAATTATGAAATTTCTTCAAAGGCTTTTTCTAATATATAAGGCACATATTAAGGTTATTTTTTTTATCACTAATTTATATAAAAATATAACAATTAACATTAACTTTAATATTATTACTGAATACATAAATTTAATTAAGTATTTAATAAATAAAAAATTAATATTTATTATTTCAATACAAATTTATAATAAAATATAAAATTACTCCAACCTTAACCACACAAGTGATAAAAACCCCTTCTTTACATTTAATTTTGTTAAAAACCAGCTACCAACAGTTTCCAGTCAACCCTTCTAAAGCAACGTAATATGGCCAAATAGATGGGCAGGGGTTGATGGGCAGTGCAAGGTACCATTGTTCCTAGCAGTGCTCTATGAGAAATTGTTTAATGGGTGAAAAAATACTGTCATGTCTCATGAATGGATACGCACCTACTTAGTTATACACATCATGTGCTCGCTGATTCGATTCTTTTTCAGCCAGTCTAAATTACAGCACCGATTGAAAAGATCGGAGTTTTAATGGGTAGGACCATCAATGTCCAGTAGAATTCCTATCTGTCGCTAACCACCAATCCACCTTGTCCCTGTAAACTCTTTGTTAAGTGGAAGATTCCTAGTCAGAGTCCCCAAGCATTTAGATGTTTAATGCTCAATGCTTCGCTTCAGCCGTGTTGAGATTCATTTCTTGCTTGTGAAATCTAGGCTGGGATTACTAGCACGATTAATTTACGTGTTGATGTGCAAAAATCACACACCTCAAGGTAAATCTTCATTTCCAGTCAATTTTGCATATTCACTCTCGTTGATAGCCCCCTTTTTCAGCTTTTTCAGCAGACGGTATTCCCTTGTCAGTTCCTCTTCATCTTCGATTGTTTGGGCAGCACGTCGCTGT